CAGCGCTAGTCAGTAATTTCACACCCAAGGCAAAACAGAAGCATTCATCCAGAATTACCCACCTGGGTGTGCGTCTAGGTGGCGGCAGGAAGTGCCTACATTGGATGGAAGGAAACAGAGTCAGCACCAAATGCTTGCAGATCTAAGAGTCTGTAAGTGCAGTTAGGTCAAACAGCCTAATGTAAAACTAGTGAAATGAGACCCTGAAGAATCAACATAGGGACAAAAGAGTTTGGTTTTTTGTTTTTAAAGAAATTTTCCATGCAAAAGAACCTGCTTCCCCATGTGCTTTCAGGGGAAATGGATTCCTTTCCCCAGTGATATCACGTGGGGAAAAGTTACAGGGTTCCTGAACAGGCATAGTTGGGTGCAGCAACAGCAGAGGCATTATTGATTGCATTTTCTCCTGAACAAAGCACTGAAACGCATCATGTAGGGCAGCATTTCTCAACCTCTGAGTCGCAAGAATACATGAAAGGGTCGTGAATAAACTTTAAAAATGGAAAAAACGTGGGATACCATGGCTTTTTCCTTGCAGGCTGGCAGAGTTCCAGCCTGCCAGGGGCTGCTTGGGACCCCCTTCCCACCCCCACCCCACACACCAGGGGGGAGGGGTCGGGGCAGGGGGAGGGAGCAGACAGCAGGTTGGGACTGGCATCTCAGGCATACACACAACCCCACAATGGCTGGATGTTTTTAAACGAACAACATAAGAGGCAAATTTTCAAACCAGCCTTACCCTTTGCCCCAGTCCCTTTTGAGGTGCTCAAATTAAATCTGCCTTTTCTGATCAGCCTCCTAGCTATGTTATAAAAAAGCAGACTCACAGAGAATAAAATATATTGAGATCATCAGGTGCTGATGTTGACTGGGAAGCCATCTGTTGGCCTGCAAAGAACTTGATACTTCCAGTGGTTTAGGGAAGCTACCTCTTATCTTCTTCGCTTCATTTCTCCACCTCTTTTCTTTCCCTTTCCATACACCAACTTTCTTATCTTACAGTGCAACTGCTCAGTAGCATGGTCTTCCCCCACGGCTCTCTTTGAGCTTCCCTGACAGTTCAAACTTGGATTCTTTTGGCATTATGTCCCAACATTCTACCTTGTTGCTAAGAGATGTTCCTTTGTCCATGTAAATTCTAGTTAAGGGAAAAAAAAAACTTATGATAGCGCATGCATCTTTCCTCATGCATCAAAGCTGGTTATGCAGTTCCATTGACTTTGTGTGTCAGACCCAGTCATAGTTTCCTAACCCAAAATTTCATCTCATTATTAGTACAGGGTAACAAACTGCAATGGCAGAAGATGGCTGTTGCAAGATGCAGGATGATAAATACCATATTTGACTTGTAATACTGCAAAATAATTGTTTTTGATATGCTAAGGGAAATGGCATGGGCCATTAACAGGGATCAACTGGGCTCAGAATTCCTTTACACTTTTAGCCTCTTATATTTTTGCTTTCTCTGTTACTAGGTTGGTGATATATTTTTTTTTATAAATTGCATTCATTTTTGTGGACATACAAGGTGCGTCCAGCTGAGCGTGCCCATGCGTTTCATCATAGACAACTAGCAGCAGCACAGATTTGTGCCATTGCTATTTGTCCGTGGAGAAAGCCCGTGCATATGCGCTCGGGTGTGGGGCAAATTGCCCTTGGCAGGTGGAGTATGGGAGACTGGGGCCAGCACCTGGGCTAGCCCCAGCAGCCTTACCTGGCGCCTGAGGCTGCAGCAGCAGTGATTCAGGTGCAGAGAGCCTAGCCAGCAGCTGAAACGTGGCTCTGGTTTTGGGCAATGCATGCTACTGCCACCTGCGCCACACCACTATTTTTTAGCACACTTTTTCTTGATACTGGGATTTCCTGGTATCTAAATTTGAGTCTGTGCTGCAAATATGCAGCATGGAGAACAAAATCATGTGCACGGGGTGTATTTTGCAGCACCTCAAATACCTTTGAGCAGAGGCAAAGCATACATGCCCACATAGTTAACTGGTAGTTTTAACCTCTACCTGTCCGCCAGTGCACAATAGGGGCAATTTTTATCATATGCAGCTAAAAGATGAGCAGTAACAACATCATATTGCTTGCTGAACTATGGAACCTGCTCTCCTTTTCAGTGACAGGAGAAGGCTGATCATTAGAGACAATGATAGAAGGGAGCCAAGAATAACTCCCCCTGTATTTCCACCCATAAAACACAGATTTGCAAAATAGATGCATCAATGAAGGTCACAGTCAGACCTTCAGCGTGGCCAGTGGAAAAGGAATGGTGACTGAAACACTATTTTCTTAATTACCAAGTTTTGCATGCAGTTAGAGAGAAGTATATTTTCCCTCCTTTAACATAGCATTGGAGCCCTGATGTAAGAATTCCTTTCTGCCCAGGTCCTGCAAACTGTGAACGAAAACCCATAATTAGGTACCTACAGCTGTGCCAAATGAAAACATTTACTGCTTTTTCTTAAACTTCAAGCAGAATGCAATGGATTCCACCAGGTAGCCATTTTTGACTGGTTAATCAACCAATCACTGCTGCTGCTATCAGTCATTCTTATGAGCTTGTCTGTACATTGTAACAGAATTGGAAGAGACTTTCTGGACCATCAGTCTAGTCTTCTGTGTTTGAAGATACACACCATCCCACCCTGTATGAGATTCAAAATCCAATCAAGATCTGAATGTTTTAGATGAACTATGCTTATATCATGAACTGAACCTAAACCTCCAGAAGTTTCAAATCTAGACTCAAGTTTGGCAGATCAAACATTTCTTTTAAATTCTTATAAGTAACTAGTTGGGTGTCTAAGTGAACGTAGGCACCTAAATGCAATCCTATTCCATCTTGTTCAAGCCCCAGAAATTCAATCATTCATCTACTTTTATAATACACCATCTCACTCCTAAGACTCAGTCAAAAAGAAGAAATAGCGACTGTGGATTAAGTTACATGGGGGGCAAGGAGAAAGGGATTTGGTGGTAGGGGTCTGCTACAGACCCCCACACCAAGGGGAAGAACTAGATTTGGGGTTCCTGAGGCAGCTCTCAGAGACCATAAAAATTAAGGAGGCAGTAGTCATGGGGGACCTAAACTACCCAGACATCTGCTGGGAGACACAGACAACAAAGTCCCACCGTTCACGCTCGTTCCTATCCGGGGTACAGACCTCCACCTGACGCAGGAGGTACACGGTCCCACTAGTGGGACCGCCTTACTGGACCTGGTATTGGCAATGGGGGATGATATGGTAGGGGACCTACAGATTGGTAGTCACCTGGGGGACAGTGATCACCTAATAATAGAACTCATCATAAGATGTCGAGTGGATAAGGTAACTAGTAGGGTGAAAGTACTAGACTTTAGGAAAGCTGATTTCAATGAACTCAGGCGATTAGTCAAGGACGCACTGCAGAGTAGGAGTTTTGAAGAGATGGGAGCCCAGGAAAGGTGGCTGTACCTAAAGGAAATGATCCTTCGGGCACAGAGGGAGACGATCCCGATGCGAGGAAAAAGAGGGAAAGGGGCCAGGAGGCTTCCTTGGCTGACCAGAGAAA